GCACATTGCATGACAACAGTTAGAAAGAAAGCGCACAACGAACAAAAGGTGAGCATCGTTCTCGAATTTGCGTTTAATTTCCTGTAACGTTAACGACACGGAACTTCCTTCTCTTGCGGAGGAAGATGTGATCTCGATCCTGTCTCATTAATCAAACCGACAACGTTTCAGAAGAATCAAGAACTTTAATATAAGGTTTTTTTTTAATAGAAAATTGACCCTAATTTACACTTTTGTCACCGGAAATTTTACCGAGTTTAAGCGTTTAACGATTTTTTCCTCGCAAAATTAGATTTTATTAGATGTAGATTATAAGTATCGCAGAAATTACTATGTTTTCTCGGAATTACTATGCAGATTATTTTGCTCAACAATTTCACATTAATTACCGATGATCGATTGATGTTTGATTGACTGTTCAGCCAGTTGACGGACACATAAAGGAATGACACACGACTACGCTTGTCATTTGAGTGATTTTATCGCGTGGACATTACGATTAACCTTAATCGATTTTGAGATAGTGCTTTTGTGTATCAATTGAACCTTCGCTTTCACTGTAACAAAAGCCTTTGCAAATTAGCCGCTTTCAATAGACACACGATACACTTCTTACCGTGTATACCTGCATAAAAAGTAAAGAATATCTTTATTTTACTTTCACTTACATGCATTGTCATTTTACGTTTGGCTGGCTGCTAGTTAAAATAAATACGACCAACGAGGTCGAATGTAAACTGACGTTGATCTTTGTTCTCGAAGAGCTTGCGAATTTTCTCGCGCACGCATTTATTCCGCGTCGAATTGCATCAATCTCAGGAATGCGGAAGTAGATCTGCTCTCAAAATCTTATTTCCGAATGGATCAGAGAGGAAGTCGCACAGCTATCAGTCATCTTTAAAAGTATTAACCCGAATAAAGAATATAATTAAGTGCTTCGTTAAAAATAACACGATGCTAAAAATAACACGACGATGAATTATGTGACTCATTATAAGTCGATATATTAGCGACCACTATTACTCACGATATCGCGAAAGTTCTTGATGATAGCTTAATGATAAGAGAGAACTTGGATTATTTATGACATGTAGCTTCCTTAAAATTAGCTTCTTATTTCGAACTTTTTAAATGATATGCTTCTTTTCGCGTAGTTGTTTGATTAATAGAGTTCGATAACCTGCAATTGCGGAAATATACGGGGAGAAAAACGTGCAAGATTAACACTTCTTATTCACGAATGTGAATGGATTTTTACCGGTTCTCATGATCGAGCATTCGCGATCGTTTTCACGACCGAGGCGAATCATTCTACGAGCGAGACGGCTCCTCCATAGATCATTCTCGATCTCGATCTTTTGCGAAGAGACCGGACACCGCGCATTCCTCGCAGACGTATTACGAGCTGTTGCCGAGCGATAACATCGGAAGACGGGGTGCAATACGAAGGTGCGAATGCATCCCCGAAGAGGTGGAAGGCATCTCGTTAATCCACTCGTCTCTGCTGAATAGATTTCTCGCCGAACCTCTCTCTACCTCCTGCTTTAATCATACACCGGAGTTGCACACCTGCATATCAATAACATCCAGATCCTGCCCTAGGTCTCTTTGTCGTTTAATTACGTTCCGCGTATTCTTATTGAACCAAGGGTAGGAAATCTTTCTCTCCTTATGATAATTGTGGTTACTAGCGGGCCATTTCTCTCACTGTCTCCATTTGCCGCGATTTTTTCTCATATGAAATCGCAGGCTTTATGCGTTTCAAGCTCAATCATCGTCATTTCATCCCCTCCCGCGCGTCGAGAGCGAATTTCTTCGATAAGAACGCCTTCGGTATATGAGCGATTGAACTTTCATTTCCATTCACATCGCTATTTATTTCGCCGCGAGCGATTAATCCATTTCTCCTTTTAATGCGCGCACTTCTTCTAGCATCTGATTTATTCTCGCTCACGCGCGCCGGCGTTTTTCCTTTCACCTCCCTTTGATGCGGCCACTCTCGGCTGCCCCTCGGTCGATTCCGCCTCCGGGAAGCATCCTTTATTTTTCGTATGTATTCCCAGTCGCCTTTTCCTTCTGGTGAACGGCTTTTAGATGTATAGTTTAGATGTATAGCACGAATTTCTCGGACGTTTCCCGATGGTCAATATACGTAGCGCCGACTTACACGATAATTAAAATTGTGCGTATGTTTATCCATTACAAGACAAGAGAAAATGATTTCGATACGCTCTTATTTGAATATAAGAAAGTATAAATATAAGAAAGTATTTTAAGAATTTTACTTGTTAGACACTTGACCGGAAAATAGATAAATTATACATATGTACGGTTCGTTAATTTTTTGAAAATGAGTTACATACCCCAAATACACAAAAAATATTTTCTTTTTCTAACACAAATATATTTGTACTCTAAAATATACTTTAGATAATCTATATAATTTGCGACAAAATTAATTTATAATTTATATAATTATATCGTATATAAATACAAAAAAATTAGAAGAAATAAAATTTAGACATATATATGTATAAAATGCATATTAGGATGTATAAAATGCATATATATTAGAATACATACAAGCAAATGTGTATAGAATATCAGCATACAATATCAGCAAATGTGGCATAGAATTCTACTTGGAATACATATTCCGCAAATTATAGATTGTCTAAAGCGGACTTTATACACGAAACAATAGACTGTAAATTAACGTTGTAAATTAATGTTGGGTTTTTTCCGCGATTTTATCTTTCTCGCGAATGTGACCAATGCAATCTTTTCATCAAAGTCTCTTCATCGCGGAAATAACTATGTATGTAATACATTGCCTCCAATCGCTAATACGCGAGATCCCGTTCGAACTCACTGACTTTCGCTTTACAAAAACGAGAGACCAACTGTTTACTCTTTCTCAATTGTCGTGAGCGAAAATTTCTAGTAGAAAGTAATGCGGCTGGCCATTATAATAATTATAAGCCACATTCATGATACAATACATTGTTAATCATTGTATTCCGAGCAGAGATGAATTTCTGTGAAGGTTGCTTTATGCCACGTATAACGTTTTTTAATTCACGAGTAGATATGCCATTGAAAGTAAAGATTGTTTCGCACGACTTTGCGGGAATATAACATATTTAGTGATCTTTTTATCCGATATTGAAAATTCTTTTCATGATACTTGTGTGAACTTTTGTTGGTAAGATTTAATCATATTCTCTTAAACTTCGGAACACTTTTTATGAACCTCTATTTCGTTGATTTTTATTTCTTTTATTTCGTGAAAAAGTAAAAAAAAATATAATCATATTTAGTGATTGTTTTGCATGATATCAAAAACTTTTTTTATAACATTCATTTCTATCGATAAAATTAATCGTATCCTTTCAAAAACTTCGGAAAACTTTTTAAACATCTATTTCGCTGATTTTTATTTTTTTTATTTTGTGGAAATTAAAAAAAATATAATCATATTTAGTGAGTTTTTTGCATGATGTTAAAAACTATTTTTACAACATTCGTGAAATTTTTGTTGATAAAATTAATCGTATCCTTTCAAACTTTGGAAAATTTTTTAAACATCTATTTTATTGATTTTTATTTTTTCTATTTTGTGATTAAAAATTACAAAAAAAGGTATAATTGCATGTGATTCTTGTCGTAGAGCAATGTGTGTACATGTGCACAAGGTCGTCAGAATTCGCAAGAAGCTGAATATCGGGGATAATAATACGCGACGAATAATAAGCCTCGTACTTTCGATCTCTCTAATCAACATGATTCGCGTTCGCTTCGGTATGGCTTTAAATAATAATAAAACGACACCGCGGACATGTAATTGCGTGAGCCGTAACGTAATAAATACACTCGGCGCGGCAAAGACGCGGATTTACCACGTGTGAAGCGAACGACGGGACGTGCTGCAGGAATAATTAACTCGCAATTGCGAGTAAACGAAGCTCTCGCTACCGTTACGAATCCCGCGAAATGGATGTGGAATGGTAACTAGTAGGGCGATAGAGATCTCTCTTTCTTTCTCTCATTTAACGCGAGTGCGTGTACAAACGCGAAGAGATATGTAGAGATAATTAGTAAGGGCATTTCCTTCAACGTATTTGATGCCGCGACATCCATAAGAGTAATTTAAGAAAACGTCTCTTTCTTTAATCAGCCCTTTTAGAGCCAATTTTTATTTTTTCTCTTTTTTTGGAGAATAATAATACATAAACTTTTAGTGAAATAGCTAAAGAAGCGAAAATTAAAAATAAATTTTTAACGGATATATTATTTCGAAACTCGAATTTTTAAAATGTAAAAAACAGGGAATACTTTAGCAACGAGGAGCAGATCGCAAAAATGTGCGCAAGCATTTGTGGAACTCCTCTCGAATCCTTTATCCGCGTTCACTCTCTCACACCTTGACCTTCCTCAACCGGGAAGTTAACAGCACCCTCGGGGAGTACGTACAAGCAGATAAAAGCACACATGTATAAACGTGTCTATTATGGTGCTTCTCAAGAGAGACATGATTGTAATTCCGATGTGGTTCATTTTCAGATGACGAGAAACCAGAGTGCGGTTTATGTAATTAAACAGATAATCAGTGCCTCCTAATTAACAATTCTAACGGTTATCTCGGATTCGTCCTCGCTTTAAAAAGGAAGTAAATCTCTTTCAATGCTATTTTCCTGTATGTTAATTATTCGCTTATTTATACTTATGTTATTTATTTGTATTGTTTATTATCTGAACGAGATGAGATTAAAAAATTATAGTACAGTTTTGAAATATGGAACACATCGTAAAATTTAATCTTTATATTGTTTTGTTAATATGTTAATAATCTTTTAAATTTTTATCTCTTTATCCCTTTAATTTTTCTTTCTATATATTTCCATTTTTTATTATCTTAACAAAAAAAAAGAGAGCAAGACATGAAGGCTTTCCAGCATCGTGTGTTCTAATTTTATCGCATATATATTTTAGTACGTTACCAGATGAAAGCTGATTCGCCGAAAGCACATCGTCTTCTCCCGGTTGAAGACGCACTTCCATCTTCTTCAGACGCGAGTGTAAATCTCTTGTGTGCAGAAAAAGAAATAGCGTACTGGAAATCGCCACCAAAGCGATCAACTCGATCGTCCTGTAACAAAAAAAATATATACGTTAGCTTAATAGTTTTATGTCATTATAATTAATTATATTAATATGTCATTATAATTAATTATATTAATATGTCATTATAATTAATTATATTAATGTCATTATAATTAATTATATTAATATTCCAATTTAGTTTTCTTCGTTTCTCCAAGTCACAGATAGCGATATATTATTCATACAACGAATACGACTTATGCAAACAGTGGGAAGAATCTAAGTCGTGACGCAAATGTCGCGACAGAGCGATTGCAAAAAGCCCTTTCGCAAGTTAAATAACCCGAGTCGATCCTTATCTAGGTTGATAGCTAGGGAATCAGGACACGGCGGTGCCATCCATCTCGTAATTGGTCGCCCCGTCTGGGAGTTGACAGTTTCTCTGTGTGACCTGGTTCTCGAAGAAGCATCGACCGTGAAGCTTGACGATCGCTTCAATTTCGCGGGCCGATGCAACAGGTGCTTCGGTCGCACGACACGCGCATATTCGCGACGATGGCGATTCGAAATCGAGAAATTCTAATCGACGACAACCTTTCTTGGCTGGCATCTTTTCAGCTCGAGGGTTACAATCCTTTAAAAAACCGGAGAATCTGTTACATCCTGTGTGATGCAAGAAACGTTACCTGCTAATTGATAGTAAATGTACAAAGTTGAAAATTACCAGGCCTTGCTCACTTGGTACATTGTATTGCCTCGAGCCCTTCAATTTCACGTGCTCGCTAATACACGCGGGCAACGGTATCGTATAAATCTCCGTGTGATAGCAGCGGTCGTTATTCGTACGGTATATCATAAATAATGCAATAAACGTTGTATTAACGCGGCGCACGTGAAACCATTGTAATCGATTCCTTCCGCGAGCAGCAGGATCAGGAGGAGCTTCGAGATGGCTCGCGCGATGACTATGCATAGCAAATCGCGAGGCGCCTCTATCATCGAGTTCATCGGTAATTCTCGATCTCGCAGGGAGGGTGCCTGGACGATGGAGGGAGAGGGACGGGGAGGAAGGAACAATTGATTCTCCTCGCGTGGCGAGTTCGTCGGCGATTAACCCGCGAGCAATCATTCCTTGTCATTAGGGGATCGCGGTACCTGTGCGGAGTGAAATCCGCGCTCTAATTGTCTCGACGTTGCTTTCCATCATAATCGGCGACCGCCGCCGCAAGATAATAATGTCTGAAATACAACGAGTGCAATAATAATTCGCCTGATCTCTTCGCACGACCGCGTTAAGAGATCCGCGCAATCGTCCCAGATGCATCTTCGGCCTCGGCCGATTTCGCGATTCGCAATCGCGTCACGTGGCAATTTATGCGGCAACCCTCGAATCAGATGTATCTAATTGCGAGAGAAATAATTAACGAAATAATTTACGATTTCCACAATGTCGCGCACAAGTGTGCTAATATCACTCTGAAAGTTGCGTGCTTGTGAATAATTCATGAATTCATTAAAAATTGTTTCCTTTAGACGCGTGCGCAGAAGAGATAATAATTATGAAGAGAGGAAGAGAAACGGATCTTCACGTTTTAATATTACTTTTTAATATGTTTTACATTGCGCGAAATGAGTTGATAGAATCGCATATACTGATTCTTTAAGATCATCTGCACTTGGCGTTCTATTCCTGCGTTTCTCACCGTGATTACTCAATTCCATGAATAACCGCAACTTAGAAAATGATTGTTTGCATTGTCATTGAACGATCGCTTTTGTCATTAACGCGTGGGAATCTAATATGCGGAAAAAATGAATATTTCTACGAAATGTAATTTCTAGGAAAAGTCACACTGTGATAATTAAATCGTAATTTATAGAAAGAGGTTATAAATAAATCTTTTTTCCTTGTGAGAGACAAGAGAGATCGTTCCTGTATAAATTTTTATTATATGTATAATTACTTATCTATTTATACGCTTATTTCGTGTTTTTATGTCATATCCTATATTTCCTCGATTTCTGAAATGATTTTATGTATGATTTAAATACACTATACTTCGTGTTTTACTTCGCTCACATCTTTGCACCAGTCTCTTTTATGTTTTGCAAACCCCTTATTAAAATTAAAAGTCGAATATGCGGTTTGCAGGTATTAAAGAAGGTTGCCGACCTCTGATTTAAACTCTTAACGGAAAGCTAGTAGTATCCCTAGAATGATGTATGAATGCAATCTTCCAAATGATACACGTACAGTTGCAGTCATATATTTACGCACACTTTATATCTAAATTTCCTCCTCCCCTTTCCCCTCTGTCTCTACATACATTATATATTTATTGAATAATCAAATGAAATTTTAATTGAAGAAATCAAGAATTATAAATTCAATCTCGTTAATAAATATCATAATTTCTCGGACATTAATCGCGTGCTGAGAATATTTTCTGGGATCCAAAAGTGCAATGCGAAAATTTTCATTGCTTGCATTAAAAATTCTGATGAGATTATAAGATATTTTTACATAGTATAAAGTGAAAGTTAAAATATATATTTTTAATTTTATAACAAAACTCACAACACATACATATATGTTATACGTATGAAATCGTCAGTATTCTTAATTAAATGCTTCGATCAAACATAATAATAACATATCGCAAATAAATTTATTTTTTAAAAACAATTATCTCTATAGATTATTAAAAAAAAATATGCAGGCGCATAATTTTTTTCATATCAAAAGTCAATAAATAAGTCATAATATCTATTTTGCTCTAGACATTGTGTTTATAAATAAGTAATAAGTAATAAAAATTTTAAGTTAAAATATGGAAGAATTTAAAAAGTAACTTTTATATCGCACTACATAAGACACTTTGATGCTTCTTATCCGGGGGGAAAAACAGTATATTAAATTGCTATTAAAGCCTCACTTACGTAATTTAAGTAAATGTCTATAATTTCTTTAAATTATTCGTAAAAAGAAGTTGTCTCCCGTCTATAAATTGCATTCCTTCACCGTAATCAGCGATGTTTACGATCTCCGAGGATACGCAAGGACGTTCCCCGGCATTTCGTCGCGGCTCTTCCGGGCTTATCGGCGAAATGTAAGCAGATCTGGTCGAGGGAAAAGCGAGAAACGAACGGTATCGTTCTGCCGGACGCAGTGTCAACGACACGCGGAGAGAAGGGAACCGTAAGGCTCTTAGGAACGCGTTTATATATACCGTAACGGGGTATATAAAGGGGCATCGTACATGCACCTCAGGTACATAATGGTGTATCTAGAAATCCGATTGTCCCGCGCGCGCACGGCTTATGGTGTATTCGAGTCGCGAAATCGAGAATCGGGCGAGGAATGCGCGAACGATTGGAATTTCCGTCTCGTCGATTGCGCGGGCACGCGTCGCTCGTTAAAGAGGTCTGCGGGTCAGATCGTCTCTGATACTCTTCTGCGGTCTAATTTATACATGGTTATTCAGAGAGACCGCCAGGTGTGACGAGGTATGACAGCCGCGTAAATTCTCTCTCTGAGGGGGGAGAAAAAAGCGCGTTTGAGATTATTTTTTACGCTACATTATGTTTACGAATGCACGGATGCGGGAAGGCGACCGTTATTTTTTCTTAATCTTCATTCCAACATCGCATCGTGAGAAGACGGAATCGAGACAATCGCACAAAGTGCTTATATACGTTTGAACGCTTGCATACGCATTTCTTTTGCACTTCACAAATGTACTGTTAATTTCATTAAATCTCTCAGAAGGCTACTACGCTCATCTTCCCTCAGACTCGATCTCGCGCCTCGACTGCACCGTACAAAATGTTTATGATTACACATGTACAATTCTGCCATTTTTTCCCTTATTCTTCTCCTTCGCGCAATCTTTCGTAATGGATCGTGGTAACGTTTACGGAATGCAACAACAGCCGCGAGGCGACGGACGCGAAGATTTTCTCGCTGAAATTGCGACGCAACTTTTGATCGCGGTCGATGCACCGTCCACAATGAAGCTCGTTGCGATACAACGACCACAATTGACTTTAACGAGCGTGCGTATATGATAAATTATTGCAGTCGCTATGGTCCAAGTGTATTCCAATAAAACCGCCCGCGAATGCAGCTTCTTTATAGCTCTTCTTCGTCCGATACGTTTGTGCGTGTAGAGCATTTCGAAACGTTTGGAAATTTTCCGCGACTCAGAAACAGTTAGGATTTACTTGGACTGTTCGTGCCAAGCAATCGTTTCATATTTATATCTCTCTCTCTCTCTTTCTGCGCTTTCAATTAAATTTTTAATTCGCGACCAAGACGCGCGCGTAAGTCTCTTAATCCAGTTAGACGAGTTTTCCGAGGCGTCTATAAATATATATATATATATATATATATATATATATATATATATATATATACCGGACGTCCTGAACAACTGTTGCGCATCTTTCTTCTAAGGGCGTAGATCTTTAACGACGTGTGTCAAAAAATGTACGCGTCCGCGTATGCCAAGATAACAGCCGAGAAATTATACGACGTGCACGCATGTCCGACCCATGTTAATTCGCCATTTTTTTCTATTCACTTAACCAGACGCGCCCTCTGACATTACGTATATGGGTACTTTATTAAATCAGATTTTATATACGCTTGACGTATAGTCTGTGTCTACCTGCTGATACGAGAAAAGTTGATTCTTCGTAATGGAAATACCCCCGGTAGGCAACCTTTTCTTAGACGGCCACTTTAACGCGGGTTATCGTCGTCACAGTTAATTGCGACGTTCTCGACAAATGTTTTTTTTTGATATCATCGTGAAGAAACCGGAAGCGTACGAGAATACGGGATTTCGCACGATAAGAAGAAGAGAAGAAAAGAGATGTAATAATAAAGTAATTATTTTACCATCCAGAAATCTTCCCTACTTTCCGTTTTACAATAATGACATCTCTCCGAAAGTTCTTGCCTGCTTCATTTACGAGCAACAGATCCCATAACTTTTATTTATAGACGTTGGAGATTCATTATCGCTCGGTTTTCTCGCTCGGACGGCGAAATTCATCACTCGAGACGAGCTGTAGAAACGAAACAAATCGACTTACGTTCCTGCAAACGTCACGATGGTCCATCACTCGCGCCAGCAGAATTCATAATTATCAACTGTATTAACGCGAGATGAATGAGAGAGACGGGACGGCGATGCTTATCACGAACAATTTGCAATAGACGCAAAAATTTGCGATTTTAAATAGTAAACAAAAAACTTATTTAAATATTCAAAAAGATTGCGTCTTGTCGATTGTTCTAAACAAGAACCTCCGGAGAGATTAAAAAGGATGAGAAATATTTCTTTAACAAATTCTATTAAAATATAAAAAATGCGTGTCAAGCGTCACATACGAAATTAGCTCTTGTACAATCTTATACAAATGTACATGTACTCAAAAATAATAGTACAAATTATTTGCAGTTGCTTGTAAACGAAAACGAAACTATAATTTCGATGTTTTGTCTTATTTCAATTAATTCTGTAAATGATCGATGCATTTATACATGTATGTATAATCATACAAATCTGACAGAAATATAATTCAATCTTTGTCAAGCACGTACACATACATACGAACCTACTTGACGTAATCTCGAAACACGAATAATCATCGCAAACCCTTGTTCCACTTTATGAGACTAACTCGGTAACCGTGTTTTACAATACACGTTCTCTCCAATATTGTCAACTTATCGTGTTACGCGTGCTCGAGAGGTCAATTGCGGGAAGAAGTGGTCCTCGTGACTACCGTGTATTTGCATAGGACACGAGACACCGGAAAATCGGTCGCTCACGCGTTTGGCCGTCCGCATTATTCGCGCCACAATAAATCGATTTGTCGCACGCCTGACATTAGAGAGAATCTCACGTGTGCCTCACATGTGGGAGATTCTCTGACTCTGACAGTGTCACCTCGACCCTGATTACAACCGGCGCGGAGATATTCTTTATACTCGTTAAATTGTACTTTTTTTAAAATAACGACATATTCATTAACTAACGACATATTCATGAGGCGAAACAGGAAATGTTATGTAAAGTCATTCGCAGCGATCTCTTCGCAGCGAGTGGCTCTTGCATTTTCGTGCAGTTGATAATGGAATGCATTTTAAGCGATTGCAACGAACATCTGGATAAAATGTCTTTTACTGTCGCCAACTTTCTCGCATTTTCTATGTGACGTGTAATGCGAGTTATATAGGACGTTCCGTTATTTGTGGTTTAACCAGAAAGTCACCGATTCCTCGAAGTTTTCCAAATGAGTTTCTTCTCTCTCTTAAAGAATATCTTTTTAATGTCTTAAGAACACAGTCGAGTTTTTTTATATGTGTATGCAAATTTGTTACACTTTATATGTATTTAGAGAATTATATTATGATACAATAAAATACTCGATTGTACTGTATTGTACTTTTGTATAATTAAAATTCATTTAAATTACGAACAATACTAATAATAATGATGTAATCATCTCGTAGAGAAGAGAAGACAGGAATATGAGATACTCATTATACATGCGTTCGTAAAACTACAACCCGTTTAACTTTCTAGTTTACTTCCACTATGTTTATTTTGAGAATTTCATTTGCATAAATTATCCCGTTACATTCGTAATTTCTTTTTTTTTAAATTAAAATATCCCACAATATGTGAGAAATTTTGTTATATATTATATATTATACCTAAGTATGTTAATAGATTTTTTAATACTATATTCTATTTTATATTCTTTGTATATTTTTTCCTGTTTTCTTATATTTTACTTATTAACGCCATTTTATTCTTGAGAAAAAATTTTCATTATAGATACGAGACAGAGAAGATAATTTTAATAAAATATAAAAAAATATTTTTATTGAACTTCTAATCATTTTTAAATTTTAAATTATAAAATATATTAAATTTATCTAGGAAAATAATCATATATTGCCAATAAATTTTTATAATTAATAAAAAATTATAAAAATAAATGGATATTCATTATATTTTGTTCATCTTAAAAAGTTTTATTTATGAGTTAATATTCCAAAAATTAAAAAAACCAAATTGTTTCTTTTTTTCATATCTTTATCGTTAAAAAGATTCAAGATTTGATTAGCATCAAATCAATTATAATTTAATCCAAATTATCATTACATGATTATTTAAAATCGAGTTTTTTTTAAGAAAGCAGAAGAAAGACAGGAGGAAGTCAGGAGAAAGCCTTCTCGCGAGAAGGTGAACGATTATTTATCAAGATTAAGTCACCAGCTTGCTTAACGGTTAACACCTCGAGTTGTTATGTAGGATACGCTATGATAAGTCTTCCGATCTACAAAAGAGACACGGGATATCCTTTCATGCACTCTCACGCGCGCGAATAAATATTGATGGCATCGTGGAAGATGTTAATCGCGCGCGCATAATTAAGCGGCTTTAACGCCGTCGTTAATTCGCGTCTCGCGATAGTCTCTTTACCTCTTGGGAACGGGCACTCTCCTCTGCCGCCACATGTTTTCCCTCGGCATTCTCGTCAGTTTCCTCTGGAAATCAAGGCCCTTATTCGCGTGCGCGGGATTCTTCTCGGCGCCGATCAGATGATCGATTCCGCGCTGATCACGGGCGACCCATCGGAGTATGACGTCTCGTCGCTGGCCATTCGTCTCTTCCGACTATCGAATCGATCCGGCAACAATCACTCATGAAGAATCCATTCACTGGATTCACACCACTGAAGGATGCGACGAAGGCGGAGATGCGATTGGACGACAGCTGGACCGCAAACGTCAACCGCTGAATTCTTTGACGCGCGAACGATTTTCTCCGTCGATCGACACCCGCTACCAGGTCAACATCCTCGATAAGTCTCGATCGCTCCTCTTCGGACGTGCTACTTTACGACATTTCATTCGACGATTTCACCGGTATCGACGCTCCACCAGATTCCGCGAGTCCGCAGGCTCGTGTCCGCAAATTTTTTCAGTCATCGATCCTCAATTGGCAAGCAATTGTGTCAAGTGCGTTTGCAGAGATGAGGCGGCGCATCAAGCTCTGCACCGATCTGTCCGCTGGCCGACACGCGACTGCCGCTTTTCCTTCACGATTCGGCGCCTCGTCGAGGAGGAGAGCACGTCGAGGAAGACGCCAAACACAGCTGGGGACGACACGCGATACGCTCTATTCCGCGTCCGCTCCGTTACTCGGTGGCACGTAATGCCGCGATTCTACTCCACATTCACCTTGCACCACACACCCCACCTGGCCCTCCTCGTCGGACAGAGAGAAAGAGAAGCGGTCCCCTTCGTCTGCCGCTTCCTCCGCGCCAGATGAAGAGGAGAGGGACACTCGTTTTCGAGGGATTCAATTAAGGTGACCGGATTTTTAATCCTGATCCGGGCGCGCGCGTGTTCAGCTGTCCTATTTCTCCAACACGAACATATAACATTAGCTAGCTTCTTCTAGAAAGCTCGTTAGAAATTTTACACGAATGCATATCTATACATCTGTTTTTGCACAAACCAAGATTGTATAAAATATGAAGGATATAAAAATTGTATTTTAGAAAATGATTCTAATCAAAACTTTAAGTTAAGATTCAATCTTTTAATCTATATTTCTTTATTCGTATGATTGTTTTATATGGATCTCAAAATAAATTTTTATTTGTACGAAAAAAATCTTAAATTAAGATTATTTTTATAAAATTTCTCTCAATGATATACGATAGGTTTTTAAATATTTATGTAAAATGTAAATTTGTGCTAGAAAGAGGTAAGATTATATATGCACTATTTTGCATCGTTAAAGATTGTATAAAATTAACGAAGAGGCACAGAATTTATTTTAGGAAATATCTTAATTTCCATTTTAAATGAAATGTACAACAAACTCATGATGCCTGCGATAAAAGTAATCCATAGATTATCTTTCAAACACTATAAGAAAGTGCAATGGCTCAAATTTCAAAGCATGGTTGTGGTCAAATTTCTCATAGTAATTTTAAACGAGTTAGTAAAATGAATTTCATATCGGTATATATGTATTTCGCGCATTTAATGAGACGTACTTCTTCCGAATGATAATTTAATGCTCGCTGTGGCATTTATTAACCACCGCGATCGGGTAGAAATTCAGTCAGAAATTCATCTAAACGAAAGTAACAGACTACGTTGCATTTCAATAAGGTCGATAATTTAATGCCTGAGAATGACGCTAATGTATACATTGAATCGCAATGATTATCTGTTTTAATAAATTCGAGAGATAAAAAGAAGGAGAGAGAGAGAGAAGAAGAGAGAACGATTCTCCTTTTATTTCTTTTATTTATATCACAAAAATTATAAAGGCAAATTCCCTTCCGGTGCGTTGAATCGAGCCAAAATTATTACACTTGAATCCAGAAAATCTTGATAAAGTAAAAAGATTCTGCAAACAAGAATATATTTTTAAAATTATAAAAATAATATTACAAAAAATTTTTTAATAATATTATTTTTATAATTTTAAAAATATATTTATAAAAAATAGAAATGACATGATGGTTTCGTAAGGCAAAATTACACTGATAAAATGCATCTGAATATATGCAAAATACGAAGGATGTAGTTGTTTTGCAACGTTTGTACGCGAGAACCTAAACTGTTTAAGAAAATACATCTGTTGCCACCTTTGTATGCTTCTCTTTTCCCTTTGTCAATATTCCCAGAGATAAATGCATATAACTATGCAATCAATCGCATGTGAAACATCAGATTGCAAAATATTTAGTATCTAAAGGCGCAAAAAAGAAACATAAATGTCAAACACTATGCGATTGTTAATGATTAAAATGGCACACATATAAGACAATATTATCGCGTTCACACACACATACACAAGAGAGTTTTTTAACTAAATTACATCCTTCGTATCATGCATATTTTCGTATCTGTGCACTATTTTTAGTAGATGCCACAATGGCAGGAAGAGAATCAGAAACGCTTTTGTTGGAAAACGCGTGAAATTTCATATCTGCGAGCGATTATCATTACGCCCACGTCAATATCGAAAGAGATATTGCAAGAAATCTTGGCAACGAACAATGGCACAAACGCTGTTCCTTTACCTCGCTCGTGCGCGCCTAAACAACAATGCAAGGCCGTACGTACGATATTATTACTTATTGTTAGATTGGATCGTATACGCCGTTGCGTACAATTCAATTAACTATTACGACCCGGCGTCTCATAAATAATTATTCGACCGATGATCGTTCGTTGGGAAATGTTCTACGCAACCTTGCGTTTTTCTTATTGTTAGATTCCGAGATAGTGCGAACAGTGAATGAGATAATTAACACGTCACATCCTTGTCCGTTTAATTTATTAGGCATTTTCGAATTTCGAATTTTTTTCTTAATTTTTTTCATGCTCTCTTAAATGGCAATTTTATATCCACGGATGCACAGACACACATGTTACTGTAAAGATTATCGAAAACAATTCTCACATCCTAAAACTGTCGCTCGGCACAAGACCGAGAGAAGATCTGTGTTACGAATTTAATTATCGTGTCCTGGAACTTGCCCCGCGCATCCTGTCACGACCGAGATTAAAACTACTAATTATTTAACACAATCGTACCGGAATAATTATTACCCTGGGCCGGGAATACCACCACTCTCGCCTCATCCGCCACATATTATTCTGTTAATTTTAATGGAAAATTACGAGGGAGCCTTTATACATTTTAGCTAATCTATTCGGCTCGAAGCCGGAGCTTAACATAAATTTACATATAGTTAATTAACGCCTGGCGTAATTTGGCGCGAGACTATTCGCCCCGACACTTCATGTTTCGTGATCCGTACAATTAAAGAATACGAGCTTTAATTCTAAGAATAAATTAGAAATAATACAGTATCTCATCATATGTGATTCTAGATAATCGGTATCTGAAGTATTGAAAAATTCTTTCTCTTTTAATATCTGTCTTTAAGCTTTGTTATTATACGACTCAATAACTAAAATAATTTTTAATTATGTGAGCGGTGTGACAAAATCTTGACAGATGATAAACGCAAAAATTAAGTTTATCGCGAATAATATAAAAAAAAAGAAATGTTGAAATTTCACAAAAAAAGAATAATTAAAAAGAAATTTTTTTAATAATCGAATAATCTTTATACAAAATTAGACTATTGATTTCTTATATAGTACAAATCTTACTGCGAAACAAGTGATTTATAATTTTTTTACTTACTATATATATTAAATATGTATGCTATACTTATTTTTTAAAAATTTATTAAATATTATTAGATATTATAATTAATATTTATTAGATATTGTTATCATTAACGCAGCGTGAGAGTCTACGAGCATATGGTTCCAAGGACGCGTGTCGAATCTCTCAGAATCCTTTACTTTTACTGCGGGAAGGAAGCTTCGCGGCGGTGATGTACGTATCCGGCCTACGTAAAAAGGAAGTAATACGTGATCGGCGGAGTTGTAGACGCGCTCGAAGCGCGGGGATTAATCGCATGCGAGATATCGTCCCAACCTTCGACATCGTCGGGGCGTACTTAGACGCAACAAACTTAATTAACTGAACGCACGTGAGCCGTATCGGACGGCTCCTATTTTTTTTTCTTTTTTTCTTTTAGTGAATGGAACCGTGAGAGAAGTACGAGCCCACCGCGCTCTTGTACCCTCGTAATAACCGTGATCCGACAAATCCAGTGGTTCTCATAGCGGAAGATAGTCGTATCCCTCGAGCTCGTTTCCGGAAGTACGACGACCTCCGGTACCGACAATGGCTGGCTGCCCGGGCGAGAGGAGCAAAGGGTCCTCCTCCATCTCTGGTCACGAACATTAGAAATTAGCGGCACGAAGCTCGCAGACAAAACTTATCCGCGCTTATAAGTGCGAGAATGCGCCTGTGGGAAGTCGCGCGAGATCGAGCGAACATCGAGCATTTAATATCGTTGATTCTCACGTGTCTCCCCCGTTAATCGACGTCTCACGTCCGATCGAGACTCGATTTAGCGGGATCTAGATCATTAAGTAGCGCAGATGAATTCTTTGTCAAGTTTCATCTGATGATGATCGATTAATATGAGGCGTCCCGTTACTTTTTCTTCGTCCATAAATTCCTCGATACATAGAAAAAAAACTATAGATTAGATCCACGAATATGCGTAAAAAAAATTCCATAGTACAAACACGAAATTCAGACAAAGTTGAGGAGATAAATTTCGGGAATCGCAGATCGTCGAGATCTTGAAAGTGTGATTAGAAATTTTTGAAGTCTCGATTTAATTAATTTTCTGTCTTTACTGAATCGTGCGAGAATTATGACTAGCAGAATGCTTACTTCACGTACTTACACGCGGTTAATTTATCTATTTCTGCGCGTTTCTGTTCACTATGATGGTCCCGAGAGAACAGCGAGGAACACCGAGGACATCCTTATCACTATGCAAATCTTTATCCTCGTGCACGAGGTGTTTCCACGAATGCTTTCTGGAAAATAAATCTCTCACGCGATACCTGGCAATCTGCACACGAGAGCTTCGTAAAAGGACCAAATACGCGTGAATAAATCGTAGAAAAATACACGCGCAGTTAGAATAGTTAAATGTATTATACACATTTGCCGAAGATGCTATGCGTATTGAACGCGCGTACAATAGCATGATTCAATATTTCACAATTCCTTAAGTGTTTGTGCTTTTTAAATCAAATTTATTCTGTACTCGCGATTATTTATTAAAAAGAAAAAAAATGAGAAATAGATATTTGAACAAATTGGATCAAATCGAGACTTATATAAATTATTTTGTTTAAAATCATTTCTCGTTTTCTTTATTTCTTTAAAATATACATAGTATTAAATGTTTCAGAAAGTTTTAATATAAAACAATTATACAGAATAATCTGTATAATATTGTAACGTCTTATTAAACTTTCACTAAGGAAAAGTTGTATATAATTTCAGGAAAAGATCTGTGGTTGAAAAGAAAGATGAGCTGAAACACACTCAACTAGTATTCGATATATAAAATATATATAATTAAAATAATCTATAAAATTATTTGAAAAAAATACTTTTTTGATCAATTATCATCAAATTATATAATCATGTTAATTACCTCAATAAAATTAAAACTGATGTCTCCTATTAATTTACTAATAGTAATTTTATATTAAGGGAAAGCAATGTTTTTTTCTCAGATATCCATTTCATTTTAGCGATTTTGTACGCAATCAATTTTTTGAGCTAGAATTTTAATTGGGTTCAGCGTTTGCTAAAACTGATTGATCGAAACGTCATTAATCGTCGTTTTCCTGACGTTAATTAAACTAATGTATTCCGGCCTGATACACGACAGATACCCGAGCTATTGGATCTTTAGTCAGTTGCGGTTCGTCCAAGATCGAACCTCCGATCAGTTCTCAGAGATTGAGCACCGACATAATATCGCAACCTAATACTATCAGAAGCATTTCCCATATTATTTTCATCATTATTCGCGTAATTCTCAGCGATATTATATAGTGCATTCTGCAATATACTAAAAACAACTGATATAAATTTTGTTCGATGTAAAATTAAAACAATGACAAACATTAGATTAAAATTTGCAATTCAAGTACGAACTCGATTTTTATTACCAGATTAAATTGCTTGTCAAAATATTGTTACTTTAAAATTGGTTAAATTAATTTTTTTCTCGCATTGTGATCGACTCATTTATGATGTAACGCGCTCGACGATCAATTTTTTCAAGCAAAAAATATTCTCGGACGAGATGACGATTTGTAGAAAATATATATTTAACCGACAGATAGATAACAAAAAAGATTGACGTAAAATGCGCAGAAAAATGCTTTGAAATACTTGGAGCGTAGTCTTAAACGTGTCATTAATGCATCATCCATTCGCGCACAGAGATCGTGTCGATCAATTTGAATAGACAATTGTTTATTAATTTGACAAATTGATTTACATATTGACTAACATCGTTGATAATTTTAACAGAATATAATTTTGCTCTACAAAAAATTTTTCTACAGTATTTAAAAAGTATTTCGAAAACATCGAGTGATTAAGTCATTAATATAACATTATATTAATAACTTAATATATTTAATTTATGAGTGTGGATTATCTGTGCAAAATTAGACGGAGATTAGAGTAAATAATGGCGTTGATTAACGCGTGATTTAATTCACGAGAAAGGCTATTCGAGGCTACTCGTGCTACTTATTTTCTTCGATTCTCGCCAGCGGATACATCATGAAACTCAAGTATCGGGTTGGATTCAATAAATATATCATCGACGAACGGTCATCCTCCTTTTTTCAATAAAAGATCGCTTGCCGAGAACGTGCATCTCTTTTACATATAGATGCGCGAATCTAAGAATCTGTGCACGCGTATGAGATTCGCGTGGAACTGTATAAAGGCCTGCAAGACCTGTTTTCGCGATTACCTCGTCCTAAGGAATCTCACCATACGTCCATCAGGAATAGAGACGCAGAGCAGTCTTTATCTATCCGTATTCGAGAACAGAAAGCGTCGAGGATCCTCTTCAGTGGTTTGGCAAATTGATCGGTAAGTGGAACATATGTGTTTTTGCGTGATAGCTCGAAAGCAAAGTTTTTTGCGACGCATTAATCAAATAAAATTATGTCACGGAAACTGGTATGATATGTATAAATTTGTAAATTAAAATTTGATTTAACGTTCATTTTATATGATATAATATTTCTCATCTTAAAGAAATCTCATCTTAAAGAATTTCGAATGCTATTTTTTAAATTAAATGTCGAAATTTAATTAGATACGACTGTCGAAATACACCGAGCCAAAATGTAATCGACTCTCCACTCCTTCAATATGTCGTATCCTGAATTCGAATAATGTTTTCGAAATTATTAGTATCTTATAAATAAAAATCGATGCCATTGGAATGCGTTCATGGAAATTATCACAAGGTATCACAAATTATGTAATCTGTGCGCATCCCGACTCTGTAATGACGCAACCGGTTTCTGTAATATCTGACATAAGAGATTCGGAGAATAGTCCGAGCCGCCGTTTATCGGGATTCTTGTAATTATGCCGATACGAGGGAGAGCCGGCTATTATACGGAGTGTCGCAAAGTAATCGCGAAGCGTGGGATTCTTTGATGCATCTGCTATAGAATTTTTCTAGGCTATCAGCGTATAATCGTAGAGTCAACGTCCTGACAAAGTTTCTCACATTTTACTAGATAGAAAATATAAGTAATTGCCTCTAATGTATATATTTTCTACTTAATTACTTTATAATTAATTATCATGCTTTTGTTTTTGTTTTAAAAAAAACAGAACACATTAGAGAAAAGAATGAAAAATTAAAAAGTTACTTAGAGAGAAAGAACTTTAATTTAATTTTTCATGCATCTCGTGTGTATTAAAATTTGTTCTATTACAAAATTATTGTATTAAATTATTAATATTAGCGATTATTTCTAACAAGTTTGTGGTGCATAGATTAGTATTATAATCGCGATCAATAAATAGAAATGCGAGATTTATAAAAAAAAGATAATCCATCAACTGCTTTCAGGAGAAATCGGGATGCTGCCCTTCATCATATGTTTACTGCCTCTAGTGGCAAGCGTTCCGCTAGATTCACGAATGATTATCGAAACACCTTCAAACCTAATTCTGGAGGTCTATAACGGCATCTTGATAGACATTCAATTTGTCGAAGGCTCTAACCGTACGGAATTAGACCTGTCAAATTCTTCTCTTCGTGGATTAGAAGAAACTTCTTTCGATAATGTGCTCGATGTGGAATCACTTATATTAAGTAACAATTCGTTGACTTCTCTGCCGGATTTTATCTTTTCCAATTTGACAAACTTAAAGAATCTATCACTATCGAATAATCAAATATCGAGCGTCCGAAATCTGTTTATCGGCCTGGAAAATCTGCAGTTGTTGGATATCTCTCGCAATCCCATCAAACACCTCGGAAGAGGACACTTATTCGGTTTTACCAGATCAGTCAAGATTCTCACCGACGGAAATGTCCTTTGGAGCATCAGCACGGGCGTGTTTACAAACTCCTTTCTCAAGGAAGAGGAGTTGAAGCAACTAACAGCGATGATGAATCAAGAGAATTTCATGGAGAAGAGCAAGGAAAAGGAAAAGGAAGTCGACAGGAGTGCAGAGCGCGATGTTGAAGAGCTAGTTGTAAAGCCTCAAGAGATCGTCCAAGCTCTTAACAAGGATACTCGAGTGAAAATCTGCAAGTCCGATGGTATCGTGACATCATTGGCGATTTTTGAGAAGGATGAAGAGCTCGTTGAAGGATGCGTTCGAGTATCGGTTGACGTTGACGCGATGCGAGTGAATCTTCGCGAGCGGGGCATCAGCGGTTTCCAGGAAAACTGGTATCGATTGCAATCGCTGCCGATCTCTTCCTTGGATCTGTCAAACAACGAGATCGTCGAGATCACGAAGGAGACACTGAACGATCTACCATCTCATGTGACGTATGTGAACTTTCTAGGCAATAGGATCCGTAGGATCCGGAGCCAAGTGATCGAGAACGATCATCTGAAAAGACTCAACTTTAAAGGCAACTTGATCGACGAGATCGAAGACGGTGCGTTCGGAAAAATTAAATTACGTGGATTATTTTTGGCCGATAATCGACTAAAAAATCTCGACTTCGTCTCCAATTTACCGGAAACTCTGATAGAATTTGTCGTGAGCGGAAATTGCATAGCGTCTGTTTCCAACGACACTTTCTCCAAGCTCTCTCGTTTGTTGTATCTCAATCTCGACGGCAACGAAATCAAAGCGCTGCAGAGCGACGTCTTTCAAGGTTTAGAATCTTTACGATCGCTGACGTTGACAAGCAATAATATAACGACCATCGAATTTTCCGCTTTTAGAGGTCTAACATCTCTCGAGACGCTCGATCTTCATCGCAATTCTATACGCGATCTGCAAAAGGGCACCTTCGCCGAGTTGACGGCTTTGAAGGAGTTGAATCTCGCCTATAACAATATCACGGAAGCTACGTTCGCCGATCTTCCATCGTCCTTGGACTCTTTGCATCTCGATTACAACGAGATCGACATGCTCGAAGAAGGCAATTTCGTTCAAGCTCCAAGATTCACTCTGTCATTGACCGGGAACAGAATCTCTAGCATAATGAGTGGTGCTTTCAATCTGCCCGTTCTTCGAGATCTGTACTTGAACAAAAATCTCTTGACGACTATAGAAGGCGATAGTTACGAAGGCCTGAGTCGTTTAAGACGCCTCTGGCTCTCGGAAAATAAAATATTAGAGATTCCCAAGAACGCCTGTAAAAATCTGGGCAGTCTTTACGTCTTAGATATATCCAAGAATCCGTTCCAAAAGTTGGAAAATGGCGCTCTTCATGGTCTCAACACCGACTTTGGAACCTTATACATTTACAACAATAGTTTGAAAGAGATACAAGGCGGAGTTTTCGATGATTTTTAATAAAATTGATATTATTGTTTAAGATACACGACTCCTTCGCATATTTAATTAAATATTCTCGAAAAATATAGTGAAAATTAATCGCTATATTAATTATTATATTAACTTTAATTCGCGAATATTTAAAAGAAATTGTGTTATACGTACGAAACAAAATATATATATTCATACAATACATATATTCACAATACATATATTCATATATCACAATACATATATCACAAAATACATATATTCACATTTTGATAAATATGCATTTTTCATTTCCCTTGAAAACAGTAGAGGATATTGTAAAATTGCCAATAAAAACGAAACGAAATTTTTGATACATTATTTAAATATATTAAAATCTAAAATCATCAAATTTAATTTCGCAAAACATTCTTCGACTTTTGCATAATATTATTAAATAAGTGAAAGCGTTTCATCACGATATTTTAATGCATCTCTTTAGTGAACAATTTTCAAAAATTTCATTTCGCAAGAATACATTTTTTTTAGATAAATTTTTGAAAAATCATTACTTTCACCCTCAACTTATAATTATTTTATCATATAATTTCTGCGGTCTCCTTCAAGAAATTGAAACTATCACGAAGTGGAATTATCAATCCGAGTTAATGTCGTTATTACGAACGATCGTATGCCATTTCAATTAATACATATCAATCGAACAGCAACTTCTTCGTGCGATCGCGTTCGATGGAACCTTTAAACCGCGTTTAATATCTACCCGAGAACGACGGAGAGCAATTTTCGCAAAAGTGCCTGACGATTCGCTTTCACCGAACGTTCTCGCGCGTAAATTCGCGCAAAATCGCGCAGTAATAGTAATAATAACAATAATAACAATAATAATAGAACCCGTTCGCGTACAAGATGAAACGTGCAGCTTGCAACCAGCTGGCCTTGACTTTCACGTTGGAACCTTTCGACTCCACCGGGTTTCCGAGACCCGTTTGAAGGTCGGCACGCCGTTTAGAAGTTTTCCCGATTCTTTTTTTTCTTCCCGATTGAGACTAACGGTAGACTTTATAGCGGTTGTAATGTTGTATAAGCAAATTGAGTAATCGAACGTCATCATCTTCGAGACGGAGAAGCGAGGACCGGAAAGCCATTTCGTTTTATTTAGATTACGATTGATATCGGTCAACGGTTGTTACATCATGTCAATTTGACGCGCATATAATGTGTATGAAATATCGATATAGTCATCTTAAAATAAAATAATTAGAATCTCGAACACGGATATAAAAAAATTGGGTCGAAGAGGATACAATAATCTCTTTTATTTCGACTTTGAATTGGAGAATCGAAACCGGATAACTTCAATGAATCGAGTAGCTAATTCCACCGGAACCGAATAATCTTATTTCACTGCTTCGATCGTGACAGTATGACGAAAAAACCGCATTTCCGCCGCGGGAATCGGAAAACGCTAGACGGTGTAATTATTCCCCAACGCATTTATTCCCCTTGTCTAATTAATTCGCAGAGTTAAGACTCGTGTGCGTTAGATGCACTAGTGCATCGTCTTCCCTTCCGTAAATAGACAAGCTTTTTTCAAGATAGAGGCGGCACGATCTAACGAGTCGATTTGTTTAATTGAATCTTGGGGGGAGTTCAAATTAGATCTTCGAACAAATAGAGCTCGCGTCCTTATTGCTGATTGCTATTACGCCTTTTCTCTAATAACCACGAAGTTAATTGGTACGAATTTAATGATTTTCCATTGACTTTCTCGTCAATTTCTTCGATTCGAAAGCATATTGTCAAATGATGGATAAAAATTATATATAGAGAGTAAAACATTGTAATACGTTTTAGCAGAAAAAATACCTCACTCAATGTTTAAATATAATGAGCTTATTAATAAGTGTTATTGAAACAATAATTGACGATAGTACACAATTAACCGCGAAACAGAATTGCCCTGAATGCAATTTCACAATAAAAAATTACAAAATCAATCATTTTTAAGAAAAACAATTATAAAATTTCCTAGTAAGTATTTTTAATTATTTTTCTTTTCATAAGTAATTATCATTGTTTTTGTATAGTTTTGTATAGTCTCATTATATTTCTGAAGGAATATAACTTATAAAATATAACTAATAATAAATGTACACAGCTAAATTAGAATACTTTAATTAATCAGAAATTACAATTATTAATTGCAATTATTGTAATATTAGTAAATCTTTGTAAATTGCAACTTTAATATACTAATAATTTTATCGTGAGTGTATTTTATATTGATTTAAGCAAATGTGAAGCGTACTACATCGTTTAACCCTATATATGTACAATATATTGTATCCGAGCTTTCTGCTCGAAAGAACTGCCAATTATCAAGAAACACGGTCTTGCACCAAGTCACGCGCAGCAAACAACGAGGTAGATCATGTATCTATATACAATTGAGGGTACCTTGGATTATTGAATCCCACTAAAGCATCAAACGATCGAGTTTCTAGCAAGCTTAATCGATATAGCTTGAATTCGTATATAAAACGAAGTAATTTAAATTTCATTCATTTACTTAAAATTGATTTCAATATTTATCTTCTCAATCATATAAGAACTCTCGTAACCCCTAACTCTAATTTAAAATTTACAAATAAATTATATAAAATTTATTAAATAAATTAGATAAAATTTCTAACTGAGAAAAAGCTTGGTATTATTCTTTAATTTATACTTTTAATTTTTTCTTACTATGTAATGAATATTAAAAAAATTTATTAAAATTATTCAACCTAATCTTTTCTAATTCATCCAAGACAATGAATCTATCTACAATAAATCTACAATTTCTAATAAAATCCGTTACCTCAAAAATAAAAAGATTCTGACTCACCAACTGCAGAACAATGGAATTGATGTCATTGAAGCTACGTCTGCAACATACAAATAGAAAATTCTAATTACAGCAGCATTCGAAATAATTAATATTTCAAAAAAATTACTATATATATTAAATTTTATATTTGATGTGCACAATAATAAGCAGATATTACTGGAATAATTTTATAAATTCTTTAAAAAAAGAGTTTTTTAAAGAACTACAAATTTTTACAGAATTATATTAATTTTATAAATGTATAGTGTACACAGATTTATTTTTAATTGATGTGATCTTTTGATTTGAAATTTTTTGGAAAAAAGCAGATTTAAGCAATACGATACACATTGAAGTAGCAACTTCTTCGTAAAATCTGTTAAACAAGCATAAAAAATATGAAGAATAACTCTATTAAAGAATAACAATTAAATAGTTATGTAACAATTTTTATGCAGTATGATTTTATGGTGATCGAGAACTGCGGAAGAAATGAGTTTCTCAGACATACCAAGTGCTTCTCGTTCCGTAGCGAAGGTCCCGAGCAATTTCGTGGCATTGACACTGAATGCTGAGTGTCTGCCACTTCCGGATTTACCAACGGTATCTCGTAGGGTTATCGAACGTATATCTACTAAAATCATTATATACCAAGTGTTATGGCATTTTCGTGACTTACTAAATTGTGCCAATCAAATCGCCGATTTGCTATCTTCATTTTAAAAATAATAGCTTTTTGACATAAGCACCGACGAATTTTAAAGTATCATTAAGTTTACGAATATCGTCAGTATCATTAAGTATACGAATATCATCGTTTTATCATTCTCTATTTAACTACGAAAATGAAAGTGGTTTTACTAATAACATTTTACGAATTTTATTTCCATTGAATAAATATCTGTACTACAATTTATATATCAGAATATGCAGTGTGTGTGTGTGTATGTGTAAAGATAATTAAAACAAAATTATAGATAACGTTTCATCTTTAACAATTTAGTATTATTTTTGAAAATTTCATTGTTTCATAAGTTCGGTTATTTCTTCATTTTTTCCAATCTCTTAATTTCATCAAAATTCTTCATTAAATTAAAGTTCAATAATGAGGATTGCTCGGAAATATGTGAAAATACTACGACCTTCGCAGAGCGCAGTTCTGTCAAGCAGAAACTGTAAAGACAGAAATTCCAAGGTGAATGTCGGCCAACGGACTGCATCGGTTCGAAGAAAAAGGGGTTGCCACGCCGGATCTCTTAAGTATGCCTTAAGTAGAGCAAAGGTACCTTGACTCACGTGAGAGAAAGGTCTCAGTGTCCAGGGTTCGTTGGCCTTTGCAATCATTAATGGACAATAATACGTAATAGCCAGAAAGCAGTACGCTCGTTAAGTGCATTAAATTTGTGTTGCTTGTTTTAAATCTTACGCGGATGCGATATAATACATCCTGAAATCAACGATGTAACGCGTACAATGTAACAATGTAACACATTGTTACACTTTACGCGTCGCTTCTCACTTTGTTTACTGTTCCGTAAAATCTGTTTCGATAGTAATAATTCCGAAGAATTTAACTCTTTGCAAAATGATATTAAAATATAGAGATAATTTTAATTTTTTTTCTTTAATATAGATAAATTATTCTAATTTATATCGCCAATTAATAATTTAAATTAATAAATAACTTAATTAATTATTAATTCAAGTATAACGAATGTACTTTGTAAAAAGAAGAAATTAGGTCGAATAATAATAATCGTAAATATCGGCGCTTTGCAATATTGAATATACTACATAATTATTAAATGTTCAATTAATATACTTTCTAATCCTCGATGAAGAGAGACGATTTCACAAGTATAATCAACAAGTATATCTGGTGTCGTCTTCTATTAATTATACATAGTATACTTAGATCTTCTATTATGTAAAGCGGAGATAAGCACTGCAATAATATGATATATGATACTTCTATCCTGATATATTAATTTGATTAGAAAATTAAAAGGCCAAAGGCCTTTTAAATGACAAATTTCTGCCAAGATTCTCGATACTTAAATCTTTCGAATTGATCGTAAATTTCGCAACAGTTGCCTTTAAACCGGTCCATTTGATGCAGTAGAGTATCTGCATAAATTTATCATCTTTCTCTGCGCTTTTCGCACGAA